TCATTTAGTGGATTAAATACTTGTAAAACACTTAAAGCACTATTCAATTCATACTTTCGAGTATTTCGATTCATTTGTTCACTAGAAGGCATGATTCTTTTATTTTCTAAATAAACAGAGATAGAGATTAATAAATATTTTTCATAAATAGTTTACTTTTTTTTAACAAAAAAGAAATTCAATTTTATATTGGAATAGACTATTGAAGTTTGATAATAAAGAGTCTGAATAGACTTTATCTACATAATGAAGACAAAAATAAACTATGAGAAGTTGCTTTTATGATATATATATGGGGGTGGCCAGTCTGGCCGGAGGGTCCAACTCTTTTTTATCATTTAACTTCTATAATATATCAGAATAGTATGATTTTTTTACCAGTTATAGTACTTATCTAGTGCTAATAATTTATCATTGTTCGGGTTATATATCTTTTCAAAAACAAAAATAATTAAGCGCCTTCATATAAGGTATTGGTGAAGTAAACTATCATGTTTATCGACTACATGAATTTCTCAGTAAAAAGACTTAGCAATCCATCATGCATTTGGAGTTTGGGTCAAAAATAAATAGAAACAAACATATCTAAGTTAAATATGGATATCTTCAAAATGCACAGATCACTGCCAAAGAGGTTAGTGAAGAAAACATTTTATTGATCGAATATTCTCTCATTCTCACATTAATGTATATGCCCTACACGTTGAATACGTGATTCATTTCTTAGAGCCACCCTGCTTCAATTGCGTCGTTTCTATTCTAATTTTGATCTTCTTTCTTATTTTTCTTTGTTCGTTCTGTCATTTTGAAGATATCCATATTTAACTTAGATATGTTTGTTTCTATTTATTTTTGACCCAAACTCCAAATGCATGATGGATTGCTAAGTCTTTTTACTGAGAAATTCATGTAGTCGATAAACATGATAGTGTACTTCACCAATACCTTATATGAAAGCGCTTAATTATTTTTGTTTTTGAAAAGATATATAACCCGAACAATGATAAATTACTAGCACTAGATAAGTACTATAACTGGTAAAAAAATCATATTATTCTGATGTATTATAGAAGTTAAATGATAAAAAAGAGTTGGACCCTCCGGCCAGACTGGCCACCCCCATATATATAAAGACCCTGGGTCAAAAAATTTGGGATGCCGAATCAGCTATTTTTGAACCTTGTTTGGTGGATATCTCTGTCAAACGTCATGGTTTAGAACCGAAACTTTTACCATAGCTTCTCCACTACAGCTGCAACATATTCTCCGAATGTCATGGCATTAGAATGTTCCTGTACTGATATTGATTTTCGAGGGCGAAGAGACCTTAAGACTGAGTCATGTGTGTTTAGTCTATTTTGAATGTCTTTATTTATAAAATTTATATTTCAAATTCAAACACTTAAATCAAGACGACGATGATACATTTGTGTATATAATTTGCATATTCCATCTGGATTTATATTGAGATCTTTATAGATGTATGCAGCAGCAAAGAACTAAACAATTTAGAAAATTCAATGGACAAAGCCTTACTTATAAAAATTACAATGGGCAACTCTTAAAAGGAAAGGGGCAATTGCCCATTTGTCCCCCCCCCCCCCCTTGGCTACGCCACTGATGTTTTTTGAAACACTGTTTAGACAGTTTTCAGTGAATTTTAACTCAGCAACACTGTTGAAACACTTTTCCCATATGTATAGTTTTGTAGAGTTCGACGAGTTCTATCGAATCATCTAAAAATATCCAACAAAAAAAAATTTTAATTCATGCTTCAACTATATTGGCACGTTATTTTTCCATCGTAAAAAAAGGATAAAATTTATAAAACTTCCCTAAGTTCGATGTTAAAAAATTTTCATAATCCTTACGATTTAGTATCAATAAATCCCATTTTGGATAAGCCTGCATTTGATATAAAATTCATTATGTTTCTTTTTTGAAATTTTTCTGATACCTCCCTAGCAAAATATTATTTCCAATCTTTTACATCAAAGGATGTGGGCTGGGATGGCTGTTTTCTGGCCCAAAATATTTTTGATTTTTAACCTTCTAAAAAGTGTCAGGGAGGCACTAGAAGTGTTTTCCACCACTTAGTTTCGCACCATTCCTTGGTCACCTTTTTACCCCCTGTGGTCCCCCTCAGGGATCGAAAAAAATTTCTTTTACCGAATATTCTCGAAAGCACATCATTTATATGCAGTTTTACGCGCTGATTACGAATATCATATTTATATTTCGATTAGATTGAGTTTTATATATGAAAATAACATTTTACTGCCACAATGGCTATAATGCCATTTCCCTATATATCACCCTACTTATGTATGAAAACATTGTTCTTTTCCTTCCAAAGTGTGGTTAGATGTGCAAAAATAATTGCTCTATTCATTTCAAATCGATTTAGCTTTAAAAAGAACCGATAAGCGTTCGAAATGTTCCATGCAGTGAGAAATATCACACATAAAGGTATGGTTCACCTCATTGTATGGCTTTTTAGTCCCATAAAACGATCGAGTGCCAAGAAGCCACATAGACAGTTCGATGTAGTTTTTCATGCTCTATCCGAATATCAACTTTAAATAGAAAAAAAAGATGTACTACACCATCAAATTCGCGAAATATCGTCAGAAATGGCTTGTAATTATGTTTACATTGATATTATTTAAGGTCCAATCAGTGACACTAAGCATTTAATAGCGAAAGTACCACAGCGCATGATGTCATAATATGCGTTTAGAAGGATAAACAGGTCTGTTAGTCATTGCTATGAGCAATGTGTATCTCAGTCGGCACGAAGAGCCCAACCTGTCATCGACTGAGGTGTTTTTTTTTATTTTTTTAAATTCTTTTTTATTTTTTTTTCATGTTTTTCAGTATTTTTTGTAGTTTTCATACGAATTTAATTTCTTTTTCGAAAAGTAATCATCTATCTATTGAGCATAAAACAAAACAGTTAAATCAAAACTATAATGAGTATATCAGTCGAGTTAATTCAAAAAAATGAGTTAAGAGATAGAATGCATCAGTTTATTGAATTAAGTACCTGCAGTTTAATGAGTTACTTATGTTCACATCAATTTATTTCTTGTTGTTTGCAAGTCATTTTAATATTTAAATAGTCATCTTTCAGGTTAAGCAAGAGTATATAAGATTTGAGAATTATCATCATCACTTTCATTTCCGTCGTCATCAGAAATATCTGAATAGTTCTGTGCATCGGTTAGTGAATTTAGATATGAAGAAGCTGATTCTCTCAGAGCTTCTGGATGATATCGAGCAAACGATAAATACCAAATCACAGAGGCAATATGAGAGCAACAACCTACTACACGACAACCATTCGGACATCGGCAGTACCAACCAAGAATTTCTTTTTGATCGTACTGTACCCAGACATCGTATAGTATGGCATTTTTATGTCGAGATTGTATTTGAGCTCTTATCAAATCATCCCGTTGTTTAGCTACTTTTATATTAAATGAGCCATCATTAGATAAATGTTCCACAGCATACTTTTTAGCCTGTT